CACAAGTGTGGCCCAGTTCTGCCAAAAACTCCCCAAAGACTGCACAAACAAGATAACAAGAGAGATATCACAGTGCACTTGAAACTCATATGCCCTCAATATTCATTGCGACAAACAACACGGCATGCAGATAAATGTATTCCATATGATAAGTGACACTATATATAGCTCAAACACTCTATGTACTGTAGTGCTCCAGATACAAAATGCTCTGGATAAGGGATGATGAGATTAATCACAAAAGCTTTCACAAGTGAGGTAAGAAAAATATGTAAGATCACTGAATTACTTATCACTGCTTATTTCTTGTTTCTAACCGATAGTCACTGTTTGTTTTAACCATGTCTGCTCCATAACTTCACTTGTTATTCGAACCATGAAAACAAAGATCAAATAATATTAACAAGGTTTGTACTTGAACCCAAATCAGAATCAGAAACCCAAATAAATAAATAATAAGTTTTGAACTTATACATAATTAAAATCCATCAGAACATTTAAGGATATAATTGTTTAGAAATATATGTAACTATTTATTAAAATGTGTGCAAAGATAAATTAAATTTAGCATACAAGATAAATGCAGAGACCGTGTAATTCTAAGAAGCTTATAAAGTCAACATGCTTTCTTATTAAGTTTCCTAGTAATTTCTTTAAGCACATGGCCTTCAGATATTGTCCATTTCCTGCAAATTTTTTTGACCTCACACTTCTCTCACACTCTTTGTCCTGCTCTTTTTCAGTTTCCTCAAATTTTTTAAAAACATACTGCACACCATGTCAAGATATGCCATTTTTTGGCTAATACCTCTTCAGGAATCACCTTGTTGATGCAAAAATATTATTTTATGCCTGTCATACTGTTATTTTTGGCTATTTTTATAGATTCAACTAAAGAAATGTGAACAAAGTGCCTAAAGGTACTTTTTAAATCGGTTATTTGCTACATTGTCTATTATGTGTAGACAAAATACTGATTGCTTGAGAGAATTATTGCTTGTGAGAACTGATTCTTGTAAGTAAAATATAAAGAAATGCGGGGCAGCTCAAGACTTTTGCACGGTACCTTGATGTGTGATGCTGTCAAGGGAGAAAGTAGATGCAGTACGAGAGTAAGTAAAAGTAGAAGTTAAGATAATTCTGTCAATCTGTCAATCTAAGCTATCTGGCTTAATTGAACTAATTGAAGACTGAAACATTTTTATCCCTAAAAAATAAAACTCTTTTTGTATTTTGGAGGTTTTTCTATGCTGTTCTTGTTAAACATTTTACTGTTGCAGCTCTGTTAGTCTGTTTTACACGAGAACAGCAGCAGAGTATTTAATGTGATCCAAAACCTGTCATTTCTGCTCACATTATAATGTAGCATTCTGCAGCAGAGGGGTGGACACACTCCTGATTGGAACAAGTCCTAATCTCCACTTTCCTACAAATAGCTTTTTGCAAATTCTATAGACAGGCAGTAAGAGCGACTACACAACATTTTATTCCTCATTCTTTCAGCATGGCTTTTTAAAAATAGACATGCTGAATCGTTATATAGGACTCTTGATATTTCTAAGGCTATGCAACACCATGCTTGAATAAAGTGCTTGAAATGAATCGTGACAAGAGCTTGTACATATTTGATATTGAGTCCTGTGATGGTGGAGTAAGATATTTAACTCAATTTCCTCTCCAGAGTTCGGTGTTCGTAAAGTACTTGAAGTGGAGAAATACTGTTTTATTAACAATTTATTCCTCTGATCTCTATTTAGTGTTATCACATACAGTATCTACATGTGCTTTCTGTTATGCACTGCACTGGATAATGTTTTACCTGTAGGTACTTTTAAAACATACTATAGGATTACCTGTTTATACATGTTTAACTTAGTGACATTTAATTATTTTTTACACAAGGCCTTTTGTAAATTAGGATGCCTCCTTCTACCTCAGGTTTATAAGGTTTCGTGATCCTTTAATCTGTTAAGCCATTTCAGTTTGTAAAGCTAAATTCAATCATGGGGCCACCAGAGTAAATATGACTTGCTTTTTGATCACAGTAATAGATTAAGGCTCCTTGCTTGGGAGAAGATAAGAGACGTGAAACTGCAAATAGAATAAAAGGTCAAGACAACAAAGACGAGTCCAAACACGCACACAAATGCTGAAATTAAAATGGCAAACAATTTTCTGCTTTATTACAGAGCCTTTAAAAACAACAGCAGTTTGACATAAAATGGAGAGAAAAACAAGAATTGCTTTGATTACTAAGGTGGGAAGTAAGGGAACAAGAAATTAAAAACACATGATGTGAAAATTAAACCAACAGAGGGATAAAAACACGACTGCACAGGGAAATTGCTTTGCCAGTCAAGTGAACAGCAACTTTGATTCATAATGTAAATGTCTTCCAACATCCAAAACCAGGATCAATCCAGGGCTCTTGCAGAACACTTCTTTATTGCAAGTGGAATAACAGCTTCTTGTGGTCCAGAGTCACAGTGCTCACCTCACGTTGCATTTACTGACAGACCCAACATGGGAAATTCCATATATCAAACAAAATGTTTGACTTCTTGAACTTTTTATGCAATATATGATCACCATAATATGTATTCACATTACATCTAAGGTAGATTAGATGGAATGTTGCATGCACAATCTTCCTTAACGTGACCCTTCCTAATTTAAATGTAAAATTTTTAAGAGTATTAAAAGGCATGGCTAACTCGACTAAACTGATTTTTTTCACCTTTTCTTATCACTTTTTAATTGCCCTATAGCTTCAGTCACCTAGGTTTACAAGCCAATTACATTAAACTGGACTGACACTTCCATAGCAGAAGCATTAGTGGACTTTTGCCTGCACTGTGTTAGCCCTGTAACTCTCATTTTGATAAGCTGCCACAACTGTGGCACTAACCTCAGGGAGACACAGAATGGCCATCGCATGTCACAGTAAATCAATGAAACACAGGGTCAGATCTAGCATGCATGGTAAATTAGTGTGAGGTTGTAATGAGAAAAAAACACCAAAGAAATTCTGTGTGAGATCTACGGACAATGCACAAATTTAGGAACACTATGGCAGTCAGCTCATATCAGCAATGAACAATGCAGTCTGCATAGAGCAGTGCAAATTAGCGGGGGGTTGGAAACGAGCAGAACTGATGAGGGTGCCACTATTCTACTAAGGTCACAGGTGCAACTTGCTGCTTAGTCGTAATATAACAAATAGCACAAGTAGGTCCAATGCACATGTTTCTTTCAGGAAACAGCAAGGCAACAGAGGACAAGAAATGGGAGCAGAAACATAATTATTCTTTGGTTTAAATGGAGGTATCACAAATTACAACAAGTATTTTTAAACTGTAAAATTCTATAAGGTATGAAAAATCCAGTCAAAGTCATCAACCTTGGTAAAGAAAAAAGGATGATGCTTTTAATACTGATGTCTGTCGATTTTTATGGCCATATAGCAGCACAAGGTCTTCACTAATGATTACCATGTTACTCATGGATGTGCTGGTCTTATGCTGCTCGGGTAGCTCTGTGATTGTGGTGCTGCATTTGTTGCTGCTGCATGCTGAGTGGGAGTGATCAAAGTTTGTACTGCTACTGTCAGCTGGTGCCAACTCAGAAACATTCCTCCAAAACTGTAGTTGCTAGTACAAGGAAAACAGCAAAGGCAGTAATGCCAAAAATTGGGCTAATAGGTGCAATGATTGCACTGTAAACTGAACCCTGAGGATGGAAACAGCTAGCTCAGCAGCTTCATGTCATACCCATTGTAACTTGTTACTGCAATTTATTTATTTTTGTTACTAATAATTGTTTTGTACCATAATATTAGATACTACCAGTTAATTGGTATCCATGTAGAGTTACCCAGATTAGTTATTTATTAGTCTAACTATATACTGGAAACAGCTATCAAAATGTTTAAACTGGGGATGTGTGAATAGTCAACATTTTGCTGCCCTGGCTGGCAATTGCAACATTCAAATGCAACATGTATATTTATCAACATTTAAAACATTAAATGTCTAATGAGGAAAGCAAGTAATAATATCATACAGCTCTTAAAATACACAATATTTATTTGGCCAGTATTTAACTTTGCCCATCTTTTGCTCAATGTCAGTGTTTTCTGAGAGTTTTCTGACAAATCGACTGGTCTAATTTTTTTTCTTGGATTTCAGTGAAATGGAAAAGTAGTTGCCTGGAATATGCCTTGTTTAAATATCCTAAGAATTCGTAATGTTTGTGCTGGTAAGCATTTGAATTGTTTCCCTATTTGCAGACTATGCAAGAGGTTGCTATTAATACTAATTCAGTAATACTGGCTACATAGTGACCAAACATGAATGTATTACTGAAAGCAAAAAAGCATTTCCAAAAACATTAAATTATTACTAATGATAATATTATAATATAATAATAATAATAATTCATTGTTTTTAGCTAAAATTGCATCAAAAAGCCTGGATATATTGTACACTCAGTTAGTGATTGGGTTTTTATTTAATGGCATTGTATGTATGCAGTCTGTTGAACCTTGAGACTTAATTGTTTGTCACAAATCACAAACCAGTCCATTCACAGCTGACAATTACACTAACAAATCTTTATTTTCCACATAGGCATTTAGTCTTATCCTTGACATAAGGGGTACTCACTGTATAACTCATTGTATGTGTGTGTCTTTGTGAAATAGCACACATACTGGGAAAAAAGGCTGTTGCGCTGTGGCTATTGAAAGAAGTTTGAAATTGAACTAATTTTGTAACCACAGTGAAACAGCAAAAGACTTATGATGATAAAAAGAAAACACATAAAAAGCAAAGATAACTTTTTCTCTCTGAAATACTTGTGTGCTCCACTGTGTGGATGCTGCGTTCCCAGCCTTTAGAAACGTGGGAAACTCTTTTTTTGAAGCTATTATGTTTCCTACTAAAGTAATATCAATGGCATCAAAGATTAAAAAAACACAAAGCAAACTTATCATTTTCACAGATATGTTTTTATTTGTCAAACTGAAAGAACTTTTTGTTTTGAAGCAATGTCTTTTTTTTTTTCACTGTACAGAGTTTTAGATTCTCCTCTGCAGGCTTGAACCTAACTATTATTATGATGGGTACATTTTCTAGATAGTGGGTGACAGTGAGATTGAGGAATTAAGAAATAATATGTGAACAGTTGACACTGAAATACAAAGACATGATGAGTTTCTATTTTTTTCCCCGTTTGGACCCGTGAGATGCTTCAGTTTTACAATGCACAAGACAACTGATGGTGAATACAAAGTAAAGGCTATTAGATCTTTATGATATGCAAGAACACAATGTGCCTGTGGACATCCTTGTTGTACTGTACGCTTCAAATCATCATGCAAAATTCCACAAAGCTTTGCAGCACACCTGCTTTGTCATAAATGCTCACGACAAATTAACTACAAAGACAAACTGGAGCAGATCTTGGAAATACTTGATACTTGTCGATAAAGAATCACAGCGAATATGTAAAATATACAAGAGATACTCGTATACTTATGTGTGTCCTGTGTTCATGAATCTATGAAGTGTCAATGGAGTCACCAGTTCACTCCAAGGACAAAGAAAAAGAAACACATAGGTAATCTACAGCAGTCTTTCGATGTTACTTACACAAATACGTAACACTTAAATAACATCTTAACACACATCCGGTCCATTATAGCATACTGTATCATATCACACTGCCATTTACCAGACCTACACTACTGCCTATGCTTGGTTGTTAGGTAACTTTATTGTTAGGTTTTGTTTTTTAATTTCAGACTTTTTACCTTTTGTCTGGAAGCATTCATGATGTCTTTCTGTACTTTTCATCATTTCACATTGCAGAATTAAGTTAAAAAATAATGTTAGAGGATTTTTATTTTTATTCATTCATGCCATCAAAATATCTGTTAAAGGCTGATGCAGTTATTTCAGTACAGAATTCCTGTAAAATTCTCACTTTCTTTTTCAGAACTAGATTCTGAAAATATAAAATGAAGGGGTTTGTTATGGGCCTGAAAGCTGACAAGGCTGAAGTGAAACATGAAGTATAAAAGCGGAAGTGGCTCCTTTTGGATTTTATTGTTGCACTAGAGAGCTTTGGAAAAACTAGCCAAGAGTGGAAAACTCTTGAGCAATCCAGGTCCGATACAGGCCCACAAGCTCTGACACTACTACAATACCTCAGGGTTTTTTTGCTTCCATTTATTTAACTGGCTAAACATTGCTGTTCATTTACTGCAGATGTAGCCAACAAGAGAAGCCATACAGTAAAAACTGCAAGTCTTTAAATATGTTTAGCAACCTGCAACCATTTGAACATGCGGAGAGCAACAGTGGAAACACATATAAGCATTTTAATATTTTATTCCTATACTTTAATCCAGTATTTTAATAAAAGCTTATTATTCCATTTCCATAATTAATTTACAGCTCTGTTCTGTCACTCTGGTCATTGTAGGCCTGAGATGACGATAGTAATATGAGCAATTTTTCTGTCTTTTGAAAATGAGGAAATTAATTAAAGGTTTTCACATATCAAGTCAAAGAAATTAAGGATATTAAGAAACTGCTTTCAGCATTTGAGTTATGCATATATGGATGATTTCAATAATTGCTTTCACTCATGTGGTATTTTCTTTAAATAATAACACAGAAATCTTCAACTAGGAGGCCAAAAATATGCGCTGTGGGTTAATATGGATAACATCTATCCTGAGCTTTTTTAATTGATTTGACTTAGATCTGCAAGACAACACGAGGACATTAAAAACATGTTGTGAATCTAACAGCTGAGATTGAAAAACCAAACAAAATAAAATAAATACAAAATGGCAAACAAACAATAATAGCAAATAATCTTACATCTAGCAATAATCGAATGTTAAAGAAAATGTGAGCTAACATTTCAACTACATACAACCTTATAAGCCTCAGTGTCAGTGCTGCAGAACCACTTTAAACTGCAGTGCTTGCTTTTTGTCTCACATATCAGTCATCTTTATTAAGCTTTTGCAGTGTGTTGTAATGTTTCAGAACTATTTAAAAATGCACATAAAAAATAGGTCTCTAAATCAAATCCATTTGCTTTCAGGGCTGGAGGTTTTAAATGATTTCTCATAATATATATTTATAGTTCACGCACCATGCAATTTCTTAGTCTTTTACATATAATACAAGAGCTTTAGCAGTGTTTTGATTGATGCGGTAATGCCAGTGTCCATTAGGGAAAAGGCATGGCTTGAGGAGGTGCTGTATTCAAAGTAAAAACACATTTGATGATGAGATAACATGTCATCTACATGATCATTTAGACAGTTTAGTCATGGCATGAAGCTGGTTAATCATGTCCAATGAAGCACAACAGACAGATTTCACACATTTGTTAAAAAGTGACACTGTACAATAGCTTCTATGGCAACAAGTTAAAACCACAGGGAGACTCCCTTTCTGACACCACCCCCAAACCCACCCCTCCCATATATATATTATAGAAGTTCATTCCAAACAGGATGGCAAATCTTGAGAGGAATAAAAAGACAAAGATCACGCTTTAAATAGGAAAAACAAAAGGACAAACAGGGGCAGGGGCAGGTTTTAAATCATTGTACAAAAGAACAAACAGCAACCCATCACAACCAACGCATACTCTTGAAAAATCCATTGGAAATCAATTTCTTTTTACAGGTTGCACAGTTTATTTCTGAAGTACTTTGTGAGACACTCCAGTATGCCAAGGGACAAGGGGCGATGGGCAGAAAGATGAAGGAAAGGGTTTACTCTTCCTCTGTGCATCCGAGTATTTCTACACGCAAAGTGATCCTGCCGTACCACGACCAGGGAAGGATCCGAATGAACCGAGCGTAGATAGGCGGGTCTATCACGTTCTTTCTGTGTGTGTCGTTGTCAAAGTTCCCTTGGAATACCTGGAAAAATGACAACATGAATGGCTGTTAATGGTTGGTTCTTAGAACAGTGAAGTCTTTCTGTGGTTTGGTTGGTTATTTGACTCGATTGTTTCCGCAAAAACAAATCCCCATGGAAAGAATTGAAATGCAATATTCTACCCACATGCTTCAACGTGCGTCATGTGTGAAGACAAAGAGAGAAATCACGCACACATACAACCAAAAGTATTTTCGGTAGGCGGTTGCAAAATGTTCTTGGTGCATTTCTCATTTGATTTCTACAGACCTTGAAGACCTCATGCTTGAACTGGTAATGAATGAAGTGCAGCCAATAAGAATTTCAATCTAAACATGACCAGAAAGAAAACATTCTCACAACTCGGTCCTATTCGTGATAATTTTCTTTTATGCACTATATTTTAACACATCAACAGTTTCCCCCCTGGGGAAGATTGCGCATTGTTAGAGTGGCACAGCTGGAAGTGCCACCTTCATAATTAGTCAAAAACATCAGCTGCTGTTTCTCCTCCTTACTGAATTTTGTTAAGTAACCCACACCTCAGGCTTGTTGGTGTTGTTTTCCTTCAGTTTTGCCACACAGTCTTGAATTTTTCACTTTGGCTTTGGCATAATGTTATTAAAAAAAAAGCCCTGCAGTTTTCTTCAATATTGGCTCCATAAAAGTCATTACATGTTGTGCTAGACAATAACATGCATTCTGATAGATATTAATGAACACGCCTACTCCTCATATAGTCACCATCATTCATACGACAGTGTGCAAAAGTCTCAAACTACCCCTCATTTCTTCTTGTAATTTTTTTTAAAGTGGTCTTTAAAAAAATACACATTTCATTGAATCTAAAATTCCAAAGAGAACATAGTTTCAGCAGCCAGTGGTGCTGGGGATTTTAACATTTACATTGATAGAAACGCAAAGTTTTGGTTACAGTTGTTGATACATCAATAGATCTGCATGTCTCTTTTTGTCTAATTCACATTTTTTTGTTGAGAGATGATTTTTTTTTTTAAAAATGCGCAAAGTGGAGACCATATCACCCTAGTTTTGGGAAAATATAATTTCATAGAGATTCAATGAAAATTAAGAACTTCAAGGTGAACTATAAATAAACAGGTCAGTGACTGACCAGCTATTACAAACAACTATAATTGTCACACTGGTATGCATGCTCTGTTGTTAATTATTACAAGCTTTGGTGTGTGTTTAATAGACTGTACAATGAAGTATATTAAGGAGAAATGTATCTACAGGGAGTGCTTCATTGAAGAATATGATCATTTCAATTAAACAGATATGATTATGCCTGCGTAATTGGGATGAAATGGGATTCGGTGTTGTGTGGAATGAAAAAATCAGTGGGCTAAATCCAAGCAGGTGCTAGAAATGGGGCTTCACATCTTTTGAGTAAATACTCATCTAATCCCCTTTCAAATATTCATAGTGGCATTAAGAATTTTGGAAAAAAAAAACAGTTCAGGCTGTGTGATTCAACCAAATATTCACAGACTGTACAGTGTTTTCTAAAACACCAGGCCAGAGAGGAGATTTGAAGATTTAAGTATTAAGCACCAGCTTCGGCTTTGTATAAATGTCCTCTGCACATCCAAATGTCCTCATTAAACATAAGCGCAGAATTGTTTTCTAGTCAATCGGGTAAAATAATCTTATATGACAAGGATGAAAAGCCGATTGTTTTAGGCAAGCCAGTATAACTTTGAATAGGACAAATTATGCATAAAAAAACACGAGGCAAAGTGCTTTCTTGTTCACCGGTATAGTGGCAACATGAGAAAATAACTGTGCAATCAAAGTACACAATATAAATTACACATTCAACACAGAGACCGAATGCGAGTCATTGTCATATTAGACATGGGGGAACTGTCGCTTCGAAACCATTATGTATAAAGTCTAAGATTGTCAAGTCAACTGGGAACCGTAACGAGGATCCCAACAGATGCGACTCAAATGCATGACTCACTCTCAGACAGCTTGAATAAGAAGGTCTTTACTTGCAACAAAGTTTGCTACACAGTCCAAATAAATCTGGCTGTATCTCACCCAAAAAAAAAGTGCTGCACAACAGCAGTATCAATAACACAACAGTACAATCTAATGACTACAAGGAGAATGTGAGGAGAAACAGCTGGAATGTGAGACACAAAAACACTGAGTTTAGCTGCCACAGGGGAAAAGCAACACAGGAGAAGAGGGTTACTGGATACAGTTGATACTAACGAGGGCAGGGGGATCTGATCAAATGGGCAGGAAATACGTGAGAGTGAAAATGAAATAAAGAAAATGAGGTAAGTATTGTCAGATCAAAGAAAATTGCAATGGTAACTGTAAATGGCAAATAGACTGGTTCTTATATAGCACTTTTCTACTGTGTCTGAGCACTCAAAGTGCTTTATACAACTAATTCATTCACCCAATCACACCCATTCACACAAGCACTTCTAAGCTTAAGTGCTAAGTATCTAACATTCATACACATTCACACTCAGATGGATGCATCGGAGACATGGGGTTAGTATCTTGCCCAAGGATATTTGGCATGCAGACTGGAGCAGCCTGGGATTGAACCAACGACCTTCTGGTTAGTGGCTGATCTGCTCTGCCACCTGAGCTACAGCGACCCCGACAACTGTACAATGTAAAAACTCTGAATCTTTTTTTCCCCAAATAGCACAACTTAAAAATTTGATAATCATGACAAACAAATGCAAGAAAAAGAGGACATCCTACAGAACTAAATATGAAAAGTTGAAAAGCTGAAATGTATTTATTGTTCTTTTCTTACATTTCAATAAATACTCAGTTTATCCATCTAAAGCATTTTTTAGAAGTAGTTACTGTCAAAGAAAATGCAACAAAAGGTTTAGGCTACTATTAATTATACATAATTATATAGCATCTGCACTAACAATGTTTAACGAGGTATGCTATTCTTATTTTCATCACCTCAGTTTATTTCTCAGACGCTGCCAGAGGAGCTTTGCATTCAAAGTTCATGCAATACAATGTTGCATGAAAGATACTATGCTGCTCAAATTACAGAGAAAGCTATTGTATAAATCATGGCTTAGAAATATCAGATACTCTCATGACTCACTTGGTATCCATTTACAGATGGACATATAAGACATTATGGTCTGCAATCAATGCACAATGGCGTGACAATCAAACCTCTTATTTCTCTTCCAACCAGGTGCGTTTCGATTAACTCGTCTCTGACTAATTCTTTATTTAGCATGTCTGCCCCTATGGTTTTCATGTTCTGGCTCCTGCGTGAGTTACTCTTACTGGGAACATAAGCTGAAGGTGACAGGTGTACTCTTTCATTACTTTCCTTATTTTTGGGTCACCTTTTCATTCTACATTCTTTTTTATCATTTTCCTCCTTCAGTGAAACCCATTCTCTTCCCCTCTGTTTCTCATCTATATTGTAGCACAGAGCTTAGACTGTAGTCAGACAAGGTTTGTATCTGGTGCAAACAACATCACATGGAATCCTGCTCTCTGTCAGTTTCCCAGTCTTTTCCCTCTCTTTGTTCTGCTGTTTTTGAGTGCTTACAAAAAATAAAAGCATTATATTTTAGGTTTCCTTTTGTATATTGTTCCGTGCTTCAATGTGTAACAGATTTACACAGTTTCTGTCTAATGAGTCAATCACATAAGTCATTTTCCATCTGCATCCGAATTGAATCACTTATTTTGCTTTTTCAGGATGATAATGATCCAAGAGTTGTACAATAACACATTTTTTATGATTCCTCTGGTTTTCAACACGAAGACTAAACAAGATTAAACATATGTGAATTGTATAGAGCATTTGGAATGAACTTTTCCTGAACTCTGTTCCCATCTTGCCTCTCGGTCGTTGCCTTTCAGTTAGGAGAAACAAAAATATACTGTCAGAAAAGAGAGTACGCAACAGCTTAGGGTTGTATTTTGGTACCAGATACATTTATGAAGAAATACTTCACATTCTGGTCTTTGTTAGTGACTGTACAGTCCATAGTCAACACAAGCATCAAGACATCAGACGGACCAACCTTATTACTTAGGAATGAACTTGACTGGCGTAATTTGGTACGTGCTCTTGCATAGAAGTGTCCCATTTATTTCAGGAGGTTTAATGTTACATTTTCTGTGGTATTTGGCAATTATTGTTCATACTGTAGTACAACAAATGTGTTTCACAGAATAAATGCATAAAACCAGTATTAATTGATGAACAGTGCTGATTCTTCAAGAATAACATTTCTAAACCATTCTGTGGGCATTTCTTTCAACTTTTTTAGTATTTGACAACATTATTTCAACCTGAGAAATGTGTCACATGCAGGAGTCTCACTGCGACTTTAGGTGGCACGTTATAAAAGGCAGAAGAGGGAGGCCATAAAGCCAGCAGCTGATCGAAATATGACAGAGATGTTTGCAAGACTGTCCAGGGACATGCCAGGTCGCACACAATGTATATAAATCTACTCTTTGGAACAGGGTATGTGAAGAATCACAATAAAAGGACAAATAATGTGTGGCGGAAAACAAAAAAAAGATGGGGGATGGGAAGGTGTTGAAGATTTCCTCCACATCAACAGGATAATGGCAAACACCCTCCAGTGTTTAAAGTCATTCAGAGACAGGAAAGACATAAAGATGCAATTTTGAATCACTTGGCATAGTTAAACACATCTAAAACTGATGTAAAAGACTGATGCAAACTAAAGGAAAGCTGGATCATTTCTCAAGAGCAAGAAAAGGAAGTCTCTGAAAAATGTACATCATTAGGTTTGCATACTGTAAACACACATAAAGATTCAGATTTCCAAATTCCAGTTATTTAACAGGTTTTATGATTTTTTTTTTCTATGCTGATCAGTTTGTCTAACATAGAAAATTTGGCATAAAAATGTACAAAACTTGCAATTTTACTCCCAGGCCCGGGGAGGGTGCCCGGAGTTGAGCTCTTGGTGGCCAGACCTTAGTT